GCCAGTTACCTGTTTGCTTTTTGGCAGGCCGTGGCTGTTTGCAAGCACACTCCATCTATGCTTGTGTTTGCAGGAAGCGAGGATGCTGTGACAGCCGCTGGTGTCAATGGGTTTTCAAAAAAGGATTAGACGTACACACAGAGGCCTATCTATGGCCATCAGCCATAGCATGGCCTGGGGAAGTAAGTGGGTGGTACTGCCATACCCCCATTTTTCCAAGGCAGGGGTTTTGTCACCCCATTGGCTTCACCTGGTGTTTTGAGTTAATTCCCACACTTATAAGGGTTTCCCCTCTGCAGCTATTGGTTTGGTTTGGTTTGCTCACAATCAATAAAAGTTGTCCTAGTTCAACCCAACCAAATGCTCCAGGCTCTTTATTCAGCTACCCAATCGCAAGAGAAGTTTTGCTTCCCTTCCCATAACATTAGAACTGGAGGCCACTCAATGCAGCTGAATGTTGGAAGATTAAGGGCTGGCAAAAGACAGGACCTTCTTCACACAGCAAATAGTTAAGCTATGGGATTTGCTCTGGTAAGATGTACTGATGGCCATCAACTTAGAATCATAGACTTGTAGAGTTGGAAGGGACCCTGAGGACCATTCAGTCCAACTCCCTGTAATGCAGGAAATATACAGCTGTCCCATACGGGGATCAAACCTGCAACCTTGGTTCTCAGCACCACGCTCTAACCAACTGAGCTATCCAGGCTGTCATGGCTCTTAATGAGGATTAGGCAAATTCATGGAGGATAAGACTACCAATGGCTACAAGCCATGATGACTGTGTTCTCCCTCCACTGCCAGAGGCATTATGCCTCTGAGTGCCAGTTAAATCACAAGTAAACAAGAACGCTATTGCACTCATGACCTGCTTGTGGGCTCCCCAATGGGGCATCTGGTTGGCCACTGTGAGAAGAGGAGGCTGGACTAGATGGGACTTTGCCCTCATTCAGGAGAGCTTCTCTTTTTCATTCTTATTCCAGAGAACTGCTTCCAGGTAGATTAAATGCAGAAGGCTGAATGGACCTTTTGTCTCAACTCCGTAGAAGGCAGCTCCTAACTGCAAGTTTTGTCTCGCATGTGCTGATGGTGTAGTCTTCTTGGACTATGCCAAGCCCCAGAGACACACACTCCTCGATCCAATTAATTTAGAGTTGGAAATGATTTGAGAATGATTTGCTCAAGGTCACCTCAAGCTACTAGTTAAGCCTCGGGATAGGCTTATCTTGTTACATCAGGTTGACTGATGTAGCCACTCGACCCCACTGCCCTCAAGAGGCAATTGACTCTGCTCCTAAAGTGAAGTGTTGCTTCTTAGCTGGACCTCGACAGAAGCCAGGGACACCAGCCACACAGGCTGATGGCATTGCCTGCTCCTTGCCACCAAATGCAACAACTTTTATTTACCAGAATGTTTATTTTTCAAACAAAGTAATTGCTAATTAATTGGCGAGGAGCTTGATTTCCAGTCCCTGAGCTCCTTCGAGGCAAATCTGGCCGTTGTTTCCATGGCTCTGTGTTTGTGTGCATGTGTGCATGCGAGGTAAGCGCTTTATGACTGCACCATCTGGCTCTTTGAAAATAATTAGCAGGTGTCCAGTGTTGGGAGCAGGTAATTGGTGGTGGGCAGTTTGCTATTTTGCTGCATATGTTCCTGGAACTCACAGATACTCCCAGGCAAAGGGAGGGAGGGGTGGAGGGATGGAGACATGTGGTCTACTGTTAGGAAAAAAGATTCCTGCAGTGAGATGCAGCCCCTGCTGGGAAGGCAGAGCTGGGTGGATGGGGAGTGTTGGAAAAGGCAGTGAGGAGGGGAGAGCCACTAATCTCCCAGTAGGAGGAGGGGAGGCACCAGAGTGTTCATTTTTGTCTGGATTTGTTGCAAGTCACATCATACCTGTTCTGTTTCTGCTATTTGGCTGCCCCAGCTTGTGACTCTTTTCCTACCCCCGATATCTGCTATATACCAGGCTTCTTGTCTGCTTAATATGGGTTGCAAAGTCTCTGTGTGCAGGGAACATGCCATTGTCAGTATCAGGACAGCTCCTTGCACATAGTTGGCACAACAGCTGTAGCAAAATCAGCAGCAGCAGCAGCTCTGATTCTTCAGATACTGCTGGACTTTAGGGCTTGGTGATAACTTGTTTTCCGCATCGCAATATATCACCGGCTAAACACCACGATATCTGAAATAACGAAGGAACTAAGCAGAGGCGAACAAGATAATGTCCTGACAACTGCTACTACGTAAGGGTCTAAAACTGATAAATGATATTATCAATCACTTCATAGTCACTTTCAGCAGCAGGCAAGCCAAAATGCATCCAAATGAGACTTTTGGTTTTGGGCTTGGCTACCAAATGGTGGTATTCAGAACAATTCAAAGTATGGGGATGAGTCATAGTGAATACAAATAATCTGGGACTGCCAGACTGCCAGCAGGCCTACTAGGTAGCAGAAAAGCCAGCAGCCTGTTGGTGGCAGAATCAACAAGGGGGGGCAGCAGCAGAAGTGGCACAAAAATCAGCAGACTGTGAAGTCTCGCCACAGCAGTGGGCGGTGGTGGCAGAAGCAGCAGAAGCCTGTGAGGCCTTGTTGTGGTGGTGGCAGTAGTGGTGGCCTGCAGTGCCTTGCAGCAGTGGCAAAAGCGGTGATGGTCTGCAAGGCCTTGTCTTGGCAGTGGCAGTAGTGGTGGCCTGTGAGGCCTTGCAGTGGTGGCAGGAGATGGTGGCAGAAGCAGAGGTGACCTCCTACAAGGCCCTGCTGAGGCAGGCTGCCACAGCTTCTACCACCACCTCCCGCTACTGCCAGGAGGACTTGCAGGCAGCAGCCACTTCTTGCCACCACAGAGAGGCCTCACAAGCCCCACGGCTTGTGTCGCCATGAGGCCTTGCTGGCTTCCACTACTATTGCTGCTATCTCCTGCCGCCACCGCAAGGCCTCACAGGATGCCGCAACTCCTGTCATCTTGTGTCCCTGCAGGCCTCTGCCACTAGGTCTTGCAGGCCATCGCCGCTTCTGCTGCCAAATCCTGTCACCACTGCGAGGCCTCATAGGCCAGTGCTGTTGCTGCTTCATTTCCCATCACCGCCGCAAAGCCTCGCAGTCCACTGCTGCCGCCATCACTCTCTGTCATTGCCGTGAGGCCTTGCAGGTTGCTGCTTTCACTGTTATGAGGCCTTGCACGCCACCACTGCTACTGCCACCATGTCCCACCACTGCTGTGAGTTCTCACAGTCTGCTGCCACTACTGCCATCATTCTCTATCACCACCGCAAGGCCTTGCAGGCTGCCACTGTTTGTGCTGCTGCCAAGGGGCTTTGCAGGCTGCTGCCCCCTCCCATTACTGCCACAAGGACTCATAGGCCACCACTGATTGTGCTGCCACCGCCAGGCCTTGCAGGTTGTCACCGCTACTGCCGACAGGTATCGCGGTCATAGCAAGCTGTTTCTTTTTTTTTTTTTTAAATGATATTTATTAAGGTTTCAAAAAAAGGTTACATTGATAAGAAAAAGAAAAATAGAGAAAAGAAAAATACAAAATACAAAACAAACAAACAATTACAAACAATTCCATCTTTTCATCACTTATCTTTCATTTACTTGTTTCCCGGACCTCCTCATGCCTCCCTTTTTTGTATTCCAGTTCAATTTATTAGTTCAGCAATTCCTTTCCCTCCTTATTTTATCTTAATCTTTAATCTTAATATATTATAGCATTAAGTTCTGACCTATTGAAAATCCATTTTTTCCATATTCTTTTATACCATTACAGCTAGAAACCACTTAACTTCAATCCAACATCATTCTAACATTCATTAATTTTGCAATATTTCTGTAAATAGTCTTTAAATTTCTTCCAATCTTCTTCCACCGACTCTTCTCCCTGGTCTCGGATTCTGCCAGTCATTTCCGTCAATTCCATATAGTCCATCATTTTCATCTGCCATTCTTCCAGTGTGGGTAGGTCTTGTGTCTTCTTGCTGCTGTTGTAGCATACATAAAGAAAGTTCTGTCCTTCTTTAACACCGATTGGCCGACTATGCCCGGGAGAAAGGCCTCTGGTTTCTTCACAGCAAGCTGTTTCTACCACTGCTGCTTCTGTCTCTTAGCAGGCCTGCTGCAATCTGGCAGTCCCAGATTATTTGTACTGTGGTACCTCTAGTTGCGAACGGGATCCGTTCTGGAGGCCCATTCACAACATGAAAAGAGTGCAACCTGAAGTGTCGTATCTGTGCAGGTGCGTGGTGCAATTTGGCGCTTGTGCATATGCGAGAAGCATGATTTAGTGCTTGTGCGCATGCGCGAGCAGTGAAACCCAGAAGTAACCCTTTCCAGTACTTCCAGGTCGCTGCAGGACGTAACCTGAAAGAATGTAACATGAAGCAAACGTAACATGAGGTATGACTGTGTTCACTATGACTCATCGCCGAACTTTGGATTGTCCTGAATATCACTGATGTAGATCACTTTGGGATGCATCCTGGGAAGCAATAGCTAGGTAAGTAAGTAAGTAAGTAAGTAAGTAAGCAAGTAAATAAAGAAATAAACAACACTATTGTTTGGACAACTGACTAATCCATTGCTTAGATTAATCAATTAAAAACATTTTGATTGACTAGCAAGTGCTCTCATCAATCAGGCAGCATATCTTTAAAAATGTCATAAAAAACTGCAGTTGACCGATGCTTCTTCCCTTCATCTCTTGAGTACAAGACAGTGTGCCTCTTCTAAGATGATGCTGGCTACAGCACACAAACACAAACACACATGTATCTTCTTAAAGCAAAGTGTGATTTTTGCTTCAGCACCACTTCTGTTATAATGTAGTAAGATAAGAATCATGCAACCAAGATAATAGAGAAATAAATAAATAAATAAATAAACAGGGATAGAGCCTTTGTTTATTTCCACTACAACTTTGTACTAGCAAAGGTGCACGTGTTTTGCAACAGGAGAGTGAAAGATTCAGCCTCTTCTTTGCATCCCACCTGTGAAGAGCCAGGGATAGCTCAGTCGGTTGGAGCATGAGACTTAATCTTAAGGGTGTGGGTTCAAGCCCCTTGTTGGGCAAAAGATTCCTGCATTGCAGGGGGCTGGAATAGATGACCCTCAGGGTTCCTTCCAACTCTATGATTATATGAATCCAGGAACCTGGTGCAGAGGTCAAGTTTCTGGTACCTGCATTAGGGCAAACCCCAGAGGGTGTGGGTCCCAGGTCCCAAAGTATTTGAGTGTTCTTGAGTTCAGACTGTGAAGTACAGTGGTACCTCAGGTTAAGTACTTAATTCGTTCTGGAGGTCCGTACTTAACCTGAAACTGTTCTTAACCCAAAGCACCACTTTAGCTAATGGGGCCTCCTGCTGCCGCCGCGCCGCTGAAGCACGATTTCTGTTCTCATCCTGAAGCAAAGTTCTTAACCTGAAGCACTATTTCTGGGTTAGCGGAGTCTGTAACCTGAAGCGTACGTAACCTGAGGTACCACTGTACAAATATATTTTAACATGCTAACTGGCCCTGGCAAAATGAATGCCAGAAAGTGCCCATCAGTTGTGGGATACCGCTTCCCCCTGCATGCAGAAGGTCCCTGGTCCATCCCTGGCATTTCCAGGTAGGATTGGGCATGGAAGCCTAGAGAGCTGCTGCCAGTCAGTGTAGACTGTGCTGAGCTAGATGGAGTAAGGCCAGAATAACTCAGAATAAGGCAGCTCCCTATGTTCCTGTAAACAGAAAGGCAGGAAGCAAGGCCGGGCCTTCTTGCTGGTGAGACACTACAGAGCTTTCCGAGGAGAAGATTGAGAGGCAAGAAGTAGAGAAACACACCCCACTGGCAAAATCTTACTCTTGTCTGTTTCACAGGTCAGTGGTTTGATGCCTTTTTAAGCTGAGCGAGTCCCTTGGGGAGAGGCCTTTCTGCTTGTGCTGTGTTCGGAGTGAAACTCCACTGCCGAGGACCTTATTTACATGAGCTGCTTCTGCTGTTAAGGCTGTGTCCTGCAGCCTCCGGTTGCCAAGGAAACAGAAGCTGGGATGGCAGTTCAACAACCCGGCTCTTTTGTAAGTGCAGCAGTGCTGGGCTGCACCAGAAGGGTGCAGGCAGCAGGACTCACTTTGGACCTGTTCATCTGCACCAGTGCCCCATTTATGTATAGGCTAAGTAGGCTAGGGTCTACTTAGAGCCTAGGGTCTCTAAATCTAGGGGACCTCGCCAGCCCACCAGCTCCCCAGTGGGCAGTCTCCCCTCTCCCAAAATTGCAAACCCAAGGCTTCATGTGAGGGCAGGACAACTTGGGCCCAGCAACTATGAGACTCAGGGCTAGCCAGTGGGGCCCAATTTGAAGCAGTGGGGCGCAACTTGAATTTTTTTTTTGTAGGGCCCCAGTTCACAGCCAAAGTCTGCAAAATCTTATAGATATAAATAAAATCCATCTAGATTACCCTGGTGCTGGGGGCTGCTTAGGAGTGGCACAAGGGACCCAGTTTGGCCAAATTGCTCCAGTTGCCTTAAATTCAGCCCTGATGAGGCTGTGCAGGGGCTGGACTGACAAGCCCTGCACCTTCTAGGTCCCTGGTGTCACTATTCAGAGTACAGACTCAAGGACTTGTTATGGAAATAAAGGGGGGCACTTATTGGAAATCGGTTTTGTCACCCCCCCAAACCCCGAGACAATGAGCCCAGCCACCTTTTATTCACAGTCGCATAAGCACTACACTACAGCATGGCCATAAACCTGTATGTTCAACTGCTGAAATATACACCCAATATGTAGCAATGGAGATTTATGTTACTGCTTTATGAATGAACACTGTGTTTTATGAATGGACTCTGTATTTCATGAATTACCTAAGAGCCACCAATAGGGAGTTCTAGAATCTGACAGCTAACCAATTGGGTACAACCAAACAGTGACCCCTATTGCTGAAAGCAGGTAACCAGTAGGGAACGCTTCAGCTCAGCCTTTGCACTGTTGACTGAACACCCCCTGCTATGCAGATAATGGAGAAAGCTCGTAAATTGTATCCCTTCTGGCATCCTGGCCAACTCTATTATGCTGGTATAAACCCTGGTACACCAGAAGCCCAGAATAGCAGCAAATAAAATCCGCTCATACGTCAGCGACTGATAAGAATTGTCAACCAGTTCTTCCAAAGTCTTTCTAAATTATAAAGCTCCAAAATACAGGCCAAAAGAGAGCAGGTCTGGGAAGAGCGAGGCATACAATGGGCACCACCAGTGAAAAGGCCCTGCTCAGTGTAACTCCTGCCCTGACATTTGATAGAGTGCCCACTTACCCTCCTTCTTGACATGGAATGCTCTCCATTGGAGCCTCCAGGTCCAGTACAAAGACCATAAGAAGGGAGAGCAGGGACCTTGAAGTCCCCAACAGCTGTTAAGCAAGCAAGCAAGCAAGCAAGCAAGCAAGCACACAGGTCACCTTTGTCACAATCAGGGTGCCTATGTCCTGGCCAGGCCTGCGCCCAATCTTGTTTTTATACAATCTTGTTTGTTCTCAGTAACCAAAATTATATTATCAACATATACAAGCAGAAAAGATATATTCCTTCATTTGCAAGGAATTGTACAAAACAAAATGGCACTAATAAAGAAAAGTTCCAGGGTGGCAATAGAAAGCAAACTAAAAATGATTTTGCAGTTCATCAAAACTATCCAGCAATATCAAGTTATAGGGAAATTGGTGCTATTAACAGTAATCCTTCTAGTTGGTTAATTGGTTCGGCAACTTCCATGCACATGACATGTGATGCGAATTATTTTTCCAAAGAGTTAAATGATAACTAATCAGAGGCAGTTACAGTTGCAAATGGCAACAAAATATCTGTGAAAGGAAGAGGAGCAGGTTTGCTCAAGTGTGTTGCAGGTAGAAATACTATTTGTAATGAAGTGAGAGCAGTAGTTTACTTGCTCAAATTAACAAATAAGAAAGTTTTGAGAATTTAAATTCTAGATTAAAATTGATTACTTAATTGAGAAGGGGATTGTAACAAAAACACTGGGGGCTAATTTGAATAGTAGAGTGCCTGGTATCTGTTGGGCAATCTCATCCTTTATTTCCACACTGTGGCTGCAGACCAAATCACTTGTCAGGAGAGCTATGAGATTCAGGTGAGGGTCAGATGCCTTGTCAATCCCAACAGGTATATAAGAGGCCTTCGCCCTGGCCAGGCCTGTTTTTGGACCACAGTTCCGATCATCCCTGATCACTGATCCTGCTAGTTAGAGATGATGGGAGTTGTAGTCCCAAAACAGCCAGAGACCCAAATTTGGGAAACCCTGGTCTAGAGAAAGTAGCTGCTAGGGAGAGTTTTCTTCCTCACTCTTACACATGGGCTGATCCAGTGAAATGGATGAGATGAGCATCCAGAACAGACAAAATAAATTTTCAGTGCAACTTAAAAAAAACAAAACCCCATCCCAGCTCAGAGAGCAGCAGAAAAGGTAGAGGCGGAGGCGTTTTCACTTTGCATGGAAGAGTTGCCCTCGGAAAGACTCCAGAAAGCACTGGCGGGGATTAGCACCCTTCCCAGAGCCGGAGGCATTGCATTTAGCCAAAACTTTTCATTTCATGGCAGCAGAAAAGTCCCCAGTCCGGAGAAGATGAGCATCTCTGCCTGGCCAGGCTGCTTGGAAGCCAGGCAAGACTGCTGCCGGCCCCACTCCTGGTGCGGGCCGCTTCTAGCATCCTGGCCCGGCCTGGGTGGGGCTCTTCCAAAATCTAGTGCGCCAAGGCAAGGGAGTCAGCGGCAATGGCGCAGCACAGCACCACCTAATGGAACTTGGTATTATTCCGGGTGAGAAGGACGCTGAGCTCATGAGCTGTGCTCATTGCTGGCCTCACAGTCATCATGGGGTCTTTTGGATGGGGCAGCCTGCATTCCCACATAGCCTTTATTTTATTTTATTTCATTGCAATTGAAGGCAGTTGACAGCACTCGGGAAGTGTGCTGTCTCCCCGGGGCTAAGATCCAAGATGTAACTGAACGACTGCAAGGAATCATAAAACCCACTGACAAATACCCCTTCCTCTTGGTTCATGTGGGAACCAATGACACTGCAAGCAATAGCCTCCAGAAGATCAAAAGAGACTACGAGGCTCTGGGCAGGAAATTGAAGCAATTAAATGCACAAATTGTCATCTCATCTGTCCTCCCAGTTGAACGACGTGGCCCAGGGAGAGAGGGAAAAATAGTGGAAGTGAACAGCTGGCTTCGCAAATGGTGTAAACAGGAACGGTTTGGATTCTTAGATCACGGACTGCAGTTTCTTGAAGATGGACTTCTGGCAAGCGATGGGCTGCACCTCACAACGGTTGGGAGGAATGTTTTTGCCAAAAATCTCAGAAACCTCATCAGGAGGGCTTTAAACTGACTAATGTGGGGGAGGGAGACAGTGCTCCTGAAGGTAGGAGTCTATCAATTGATGAAGATGATCATCCAAATGTCATAGACCAAATGGAGCAAACAGCACGCAGACCTAGTGGTGGGAGGAAAAAAAATCCTTAAATAAGAGACACGGGGGAATGATTAATGGACTTCAATGTCTGTACACTAATGCGCAAAGCATGGGAAATAAACAAGATGAGCTCGAGCTCTTGGTACAGCAAACTAAATATGACATAATAGGCATCACTGAAACCTGGTGGGATAAGTCCCACGATTGGAATGTAATAATGGAGGGATACAATCTATTTCAGAGAAACAGACCAGACAAGAAAGGAGGAGGAGTGGCGTTATATGTCAGGGATGTGTATACCTGTGAAGAGATCCAAGATTTAGAACCTCAAAGCCAAAGTGAGAGCATTTGGGTCAAAATTAAGGGAGAGAAGAATAACAGCGACCTCATTGTGGGAGTTTACTATAGATCCCCAAGCCAAATGGAGGACATAGATGATGCCTTCCTGGAACAGATGGCCAAGCATGCAAAAGGAAGGGAGATAGTAGTAATGGGGGACTTCAATTACCCGGATATTTGTTGGATGTCAAACTCAGCCAAGAGCATAAGGTCAAACAGATTCCTCACTGGCCTTGCAGACAACTTCATTGTCCAGAAAGTG